ATCCGCGCGTACGTGTTGAACAGCGCCACGATCTCGGTCCGCTTCAGCTGGGGGAGATCTTCGCTGGCATTGTCGAATTCAAAGAGGACTTTGAGCGCCGTGCCGTAGCCCGCTGTCTGCAACTTGCCCCACAGACGACACTTGTCACAGCCGACGCAGTCCATGACGCGGCTGACGTTGCGGAAGCGGTTGCGGAAGTCCTCCTTGAGCGATGGACCCTCGCCGTTCTTAAACATGAGGCTCTCATCGAAAATCTGGGGGACTGAAGCGGCACCCTGCGTCACGGCCAGCACCTTGGCCCGCGTCGCATCATCTTCCGAAGGGTCGCCGGTACAAAATGTATATCGTTCTTGACCGGCTTCGCCCTGAATAAAAGGTCCCAGCTTGGCAACAGCGCGAGTCACGAGCGCGTAGTTGAAGTACAGGTTGCTAATGCGGTCGGGGTGCTCGTGAAGTCGTGTCTTGTAGCAGGCGAGATTGGGCTGCCACTGGCCGGTGGTCTGGTTGAGGAAGTCCCAGCACAGGTGAGTGCTGATGCTTGCGTGCATACCCGAGATGACGCGGTAGAAGACACGCTTCTCGAGACACTCGTCTTGGGCTTCGAAGCCCGTCTGAGCCACAAATGGGGCGTTGGGATGCGTCTCGCGGATCTGCTCCAGAGCTTGCTGGCGTCCAGCGGCCTCCAGTATCTGTTTTAGGTCCTCGGCTGCGGGGCCAACCTTGTTAAGCACAGAGCTCTGTTGCGATACGCCAAGGGCGGCAGAGTTGGGGAACGAGGATCTCGAGAAACAGTTCTCCCGATAAATGGCATCCCAGACCTGGGCAGCACCGACGCCTGCGTAACCAGTGAAGCGTTCAGGGTTTCGAAGGAGACTGACGTAGTCGCCCTTCGAAGAGGCGCTTTCGTCTTCGGGAATGCAGTAGTCACGCTCATCGCATTCATCGTCGTACTCGAACACGCAGCTCTCTCCCACATTGGTGCCGAGGCCGTGTTGAAGGGGACGGTCGGTATTCTTCTTCGCCTTGGGGCCGGGATGTTTCGCCACTGGTCCCTCCAACTTGCCAAGTTCTGCTGAGCGCCAGACCTCTGGTATGTCCGCCTCGTCGTCCAGCGTCTCTACGGCGCAGGCAATGTTGCCGCACATACCATTTTCATCGTTCCAGAAGGGACACCTTTTGTTGAAGAGGTTGAGACGGTAGTGTGAGAAGAAGTCGGTCGTGGTGGTAAGGTCGTCGAGTAGAGGTTTGACAGCAAAGTTCAGCTTGTCGAGGGTAGAGTAGGAGGCGCAGGCGTCCGAGACGATGGCTTTGGGAGTTATCTGGTAGCAGGCGTGATTAGAAACGAAGACAAGATCTGGCACGCGCAGTGGCAGTACGGCGGGAGCAGCCATGGGGGTGGCAAGGAGCGTTGCGTACCGCGCAATCATCCTTCGAAACGTCGCATTGTGCAGGCGCTGCCAGGAGGGAGAAGACGGATAGATAGAAGAGCCTGCTGGCGGTTTTCATGGTGGGTTTATTGATACCCTTTGAGGGAGCAGTCGGCCGGCAAAAGAGAGTGCAATCAACAGACTGCTCGTTTGGGGTCTCAATGAGAGAAAGCTTGCCGCGGTGGAGGGGTGCAGCGGCAGAGGCTGTCAGTGGGTTGTGTCGGATCGTGGCTGTTACGTCAAAGGGTAATGACGGCGAGGCGGATCTGGGGTTGGTGGAAAGGCTATGAAGTTAAGGTTCGTTGAGCAGAACAGTCGAGAAATGAGCAGGAGGTCGAGGACCAAGGACAAAGAAGGGCCGCAAGGGATAAATTATGTACAACTCAAGAAGAGGTCAATAGAAGAAGAGGACAGCAGCGTATGTGCAGGTGGCCCGAGACCGCGATTCGATTGTGGATGTCAATGGAATAAGTGGAGGGAGGGGTCTGGAATCCCGGACGAGTTGGAATGCGTGTGATGTGCGATGTGGCCTCAAATCACGGTTCGGTGGTTCGATGCGTCGCGATGAACAGGAAGCCAATGCACCATCAAAGTCCTTTTCTTTTTCTTTCTGTTTGTGCCTCGCAGGAACTCTAACAGAGGGGGATCAGATTGGACGGAAGGATTGATCATTCAAATGGGCATGACGTTGGTCGCCCCTGCCTAGATACTTTAGGAGCGGGATAGGCGGCGATTCGGGCAAGTGCAATGTGTCCTCCAACAGAGTGGAAGGTCCGAAACCCTCCACGGGGACGGGGCGCCGGCAGCAGTTCGAGGCAAGTGCCACCGAAATAGGGAGCCACAGTCAGCAATAGAACATCAGGAGATACAGGGCGCATCGGCCGCTAAAATCTGGCGGTCGGCGCCGCCATCGTCCCATCGCGTGCTTGTCAGTCGAGCCACTCGCGCTGACTGGTCCGTATCCGTTTTGGGGGCGCGGGACGCATCTTCCACCAGGTAGGTATCTCGCCTGGCTTCTTGTCGTGGTCTAATAAAGCGTGCAGCCCAACAAGACAAGCCTTGGCTTGGCTCGGAGGGTTCACAGATCCGGTTGTCCCTGCATCGGTCAAAACAGGACACTTTGCACCGAACACTCTAGTTGAGTGCTGCGGCTTGTGCTTTGTCTTTGCTGGACCATATTTATGTCGGTACATCGCACTGGTCGGAAGCGTGTCTCCTGGGACCTGGAATGTCTTGGTAGCGCTGTTCAGTAATCCGGTTCCCAGGAGCTGCATCTGTCATACGCGCAATTGCAACATCTACCCATCTCAGAACCAGCCATGGGCCTTTCGGCTCCATTGCGGAGGGCACGTGTCCAAAAGTCTTATGCCTCACCGTCAATTCACTTGTGCCACACGTAACTATCATGGCGGTATATAGACTACCCGAACGCCTTCATATCTACAAACCCTTTGCCTGCCATGTATGCGTCAGTCATTTAGGTGAGACAGGATCTTGGCGTCGCCTCGAGTAGAGCCTTCTCCTACAGCATAGCCGCTCCAGAGTACTTCTGCCCGGGTCAAGCAAGGATTACCAGACCGCAATCTCAGAAATTTGTACGACTCCGCCCCCCCCAAAAAAAGATGCAATGCAGTTCTTCTCTCGTCAGAGCGAATTTGCCACCGCCGCCGCCGCCTTTGCTTCGAATCCGAGTGAGTCAGTCGGACGGCGGGTGGACATTGTCCACCCCCCACGCCTTTTTCTCGCCGATTCTAAAAAAGCAAGCCGTGGCGAGCAAACAAGCAATCGTTGGGGTCGCATTTCGTCAAGGAGGGGGGTTCGTCTCATTCCGTTCCGTTCCGCTCCGGTCCCATGTATAATCATCACAGCGTGGCCCATAAGGTTCGAGTAGTTGGAGTTTGGTTGGCGTGGGGTTTCTCTCCAGGGTTTTTTTTCTAAATCATTCTGTCGGTGAAGGGTTTGGGTTGGGGATGAGCAGGGACCTAGACAGGCTCGAATCACTGCGGGGGTTGGTAGTTGAGAGGGCGCTTGAACAGCAGAATATGCGGCTCCGGCTCGTGGACCTCATAATGCTCCCAGCCCAGACTCTAAAGCGTCCGTCAGCGATGCGTCCTCCCGTTGCGGCCCAGGGAGGGGGGAAGCCTCGGCCCCCATCCCGGAAGGGGGACCACCAGTGTACGAACCTGCGTGATGCCAAGCGCGCGCCACTCCTCCTCCCAAAGAAGCTTTAGCGTGCCATTTTGAGAGTCGTGATATGCCTTGGGAATGGCCTTAAGCATGGCTTTGGGCAGCTGGACGTGGCGGTACTCATACTCGCTGTCAGAGTATCTTCGAAGATGTCGTGTCAGTAGTGAGCGGCGGCGGCGGCAGCCATAGAGGAACCAACGTACCGTGCCGAGTAGTGGATGGAATCAATGTATTCTTCCAAGACGGCCCGCTCGTCGTCCGAGAGAGTCCTCGGGTGGGTGTTGCGGCGGCTCATGTCGATATCCATGACGACGGGATGCGGGGTGTGGCAGGTTGGTATGAGTGTTGCGAAATGGCGAGGGCGGGGCAACTCAGGCGCAGCGAAATACGATGGCAGCACAGGCGTGCGGTATCAAGAGGTGGTCTCCCAGCGTTGGAGTGTGTATCTGAGTTTGTTTTGGGCAGAATAGGAGGCCAGTCGAGTCGCAAGTCGCGAGGTCAGGCGACGGAGTCGGTAAACAGACTGCTTCTGCGGGCGGGGTAGGGTGGGCAGGTGCAAATGTCGGTTGAAACGCGTGAGCAGTGCCGAAACTAAGGCGACGCTGGGCGGCAGAGGGCGTGAGGAAGCAGCAAAACGATGCAGAGCTAAGCCAAAGCAGGGCGGAGGGGTCGCGAGAGGAATGCGAATGTGCAAACGGGTGTTGTGGTGTTTCCAGTTCAGAGCGCCCGGTCTTCAGAGAAAGTGTAAACAAAACTCCAATGGGGAGCCAGAGCCAAAAAGATCGTCGCCGTCTTTCGACCTCCACTGCTGTGCTCGGTCCAGCGAGCACCGTACAGGGGTCTGGGGGCCCGGTGTGGAGGGGAGAGCACATGGCTTGTACCAATAGATAGGCAGAGCCGGAGGGAAACATTCTGGCGGCATCTTCCGAACCCAGGCCGACGCCGGTGGCCAGCTCCCCTCGATTATGCCGGGCGGTGAGACTGGCCTTTCACAGTCACGTGTGCGCATGCATTCTCACACGCAAACCAGCCTCCAGCCTCCAAGAAACGGCAGCAGGGAGACCCACCCGCTCCTGCTCTCATCCTGTCCCTGCCTGCACCTACCTACCAGATCGATCCAATGCGCTAGCGCTCCGAGCTCGACTGACTGTCGCGCTACTACCTCTGACCTCTGTCTTTCCTGCCCCAAGGGCCAGCTCCTGCCCGTCACTCTCAGCGCACGCATCCCCAGCCAAACGCGTCGGCGGCAGCTACCTCAAAGCACTTCAACTCCCACGAAGCCCACTATAGCCGCAAAGCACCACGCAGGGGACTAAGCCTGCTGCATGCGCGTGAATTCGCCGATAGTCTGCGCCGACTCCCGCCAGCACTGCGCATAGCATCGCCATGGACAACAAGCGCAAGGCCGGCTCTGCGAATGCGGTCTCCGCTGCAGCTGAGCAGGACGAGCGCAACAAGAAGAAACAACGGCTTGCAGAGGTGAGTGCCGCCATATCTTGGATGGGCACAATGCGCACCTTTGCACAATGACGCGCTTGGCTTTCAAGCGTGCATCACCTATCATCTCCTCTCGCCATTGTGTCTTTCCATTTTCCCCATGCCTCCATTGACGACGAGAGCTACTGCAGCCTTGTTGATGATGATAGCGGGAAATGCACGTTCATTTGCTGATCATGTGCTACAGAAATACAACTTTAAGGAGCAGCCAGAAACACGCGAGTCAACTTCTGAACATGGTCTCTTCTTCCTGGAGTTGGTCCGTCGAACCTCTGACAAGAAGTATGTACATCATTTATATGATTATGCTGAGAATGGAGATGAACTAACTCCCTCGTAGTGGACGTCGTGTCGCAGGATACTTCGAAACACTTCCGCCCCGTGCCGAGAATCGCGATTACTACAAGAAGACGAAGATGCCCATCTCGCTCGAGATGGTTGAGCAAAAGTTGAACAACCATGAGTTTGCGACCCTTACGGAGGTGGAGAGCTACTTCAAGCGCATGGTCAGCAACGCCAAGGAGTACTATTCCCGCAACTCAAGCACTTTCGAGGATGCCGAACGTGTGCGAAAGGCTCTTAGCAACCACATGACGAAGGTCAACCCCGCCTATCACCGTGGCGACGGGTACACAGCATTTCCCACGCCTATTCCCTCCGAGCTTCAGAACGCCGAGGAGGAGGCCCCCGAGACCCCTGCAGAGTCGGATGACGAGGAGGGGGAGGAGGAGGAGGAGGAGGAAGAAGATGATGCTGCCGCAGATGATGACGAGGATGACGATGACAGAGATGCCGATGTCGAAGACGACGGAAAACCTCAGCGGTCGGGTCGACCCTCGATCATCTTGCGTCGTGGTTCAGCTCGCAAGTCAGCTGCCAGCAGCACCCCCAACGCTACTGCTACGCCTCGATCTGCCAATCGCAAAGGCGACGACGTTTACGCTGATATTCCTTACAAAGAGTGCTCCTTCCAGGAAGCACAGGAGAAGATTGTTGAAGAGTTGATTCGCAAGACAGAAGACGAGTAAGTCCCGAATACCCACACATCGATAATATTTCAACACTACTGATCATGATACGGCAGCTCCGATGAACCCCAGTTCGAAATATTCCTCAACTTGCCCTCGCGGTCGCTCAAGGACTATTATGCACATGTTTCCAACCCACTCTCCATCAAGAAGCTCCAGAAACGCGTCAAGGGCGTTCAAGGCCGCGGCAATTGTACCCATGTCAGCGAGTTCAAGAGTTGGGCCGCTTTTGAGGAAACCGCAAGCTTGATCTGGACAAACGCCCAGTTCTACAACGAAGAGGACAGTGAATACTATGCCGTTGCCGGCGAGTTCAAGGTACGTTCATGGCCCGTGATTGGGTCTCGCGTCTGAGGCTAAAACTCGCTCAGAATTTCTTCCTTGACCAGCTCAAGCAGGCCAAGAAGGTCGTTGAGGAGCCACCTCAGCCAAAGATCAAACTCAAGGTCACCAACGACCAGCCCATTTCTACGTCTAAGAAGATCACAATTCAGCTCCCTCCTCGAGGCGGTTCCACATCCTCTCCTGCACCTCCTACGCCGGCTCGGGGCACTACGACGCACGCTGTACAGAAGCCGGCGGCATCCAACGGGGCCACTTCCCAGTCTGCACAGGCCACTGCAGTTAGTGGCACAAGCTCTATCGACAAAGCTCGTAGTGCGTCGGTAGCATCCCCTGGCCCTGCCCTCAACGGTATCAAGAGGGAGAGCACATTCCGTCCATCTCCTGTCATGGCTCCCGCTCAGCTCAATGGCACAGCGCCACCTTCAAACGCTGCGCCTGCCCTCAGCAACGCCCAGTTTCAACCCATCCCGGCCTCGCAGCAGCCCAACGGCCTCCACGTGCCCAAACCTAAGTCACCATTCGAGCAGACCACACGCCGCGCTGGCAAGGGTGCGTCTGATGCTCTCATCCAGAACCTGAGAATTCAGACACACCCTGTGCTGAACATGCATCAGCATCAGGTGGTGTACGACATTATGCCTCTTGAAAGCGAGAGTCAGCAGTCCGTTGCGATGCACCTGCCGGCAAATCACCTTCGCGTGCAGATTATCTTAACGCTGCCTCCCTTCCTACAAGCTCAACAGCGACAGTACAAGATTTGGGCTATTGCCAACCGGCACGTTCTCAGCCAGCAGGCGCCTGTAGCCGGCCAGGTCCTCCCACCCTTCTCGAGTGTATTCGAGGCGCAGCTGAACGCCGGATCGGTCAACGTCATTGAGGTCCATGTCATCGCTGCACTTGTCAAGGCGGAGCGCACACTTGACGGTCCCGAAGCGGAACTCGAGCAGTTTACCGTGCTTGCCAATGTCATGCGGAACTAGATCCACCCTTACATTCCTACACATAACGCTGAGCAATCGCTAATTGCAGAATCTTTCTTGGACCGTCACACAAAGCATCACCGGGAGGGTATTAAAAGCGAGTATGAAATCTCTCTATGGCAGGATAGACACACTCCGCATATATCCGAAAACCACGTTCTTGCGGATAGCCACAGGCGTCATCTCAACCGCCGCCGCGATGACGAGGTCATCAGCTGCAAAGCCGAGTCGCTGGACACATATGATGGAAATACACATGTCGTCAGGGTTTTGTCTGACATTGACCACAAAGACGACATAATTACCCGCGACGAGAAACCCGCTCGGATCAGAACCCCTGCTTCCACCACTCTGAGTAGAGAAACTGTGAGGACTCCGCCTCGGGCACGTGTTGGGGCTGAAAACACACTCAGCTGCAATCCCGTTGATCCAACCATGTCGCCATTGTACAAAACCACCAGGGCAACGGTACTGGATGAAGTCAAGAGAAAGAATGCTGGCAATGTTTCCTACGAGCTGCTACCGCCTTTTCGGCCTCTCGAGTCGACTGCATTTATTCAACGTGCCACGGCCGACATCCATCAAAGTCTCCGCGACGCCCGCCGTTCTCAAGATTCTGCCCCTAATTCCAGCCAAGACGGAGCTGAGTTGCCTCGGCTACGCCCTCGACCTGTGGTTTCTCAGCAATACACTTTGCAATCTCGGTATTCTCTGCGTAGTAGGGCTGTATCCGGTGCCCACTCTCCGCGACAGCAGCCTTCCCAACAAGTCGAGCCTAGCGAACAACGAGACGCCTTTGATCAACAAACGCACAATACTGTCAGAACGCAGCAAGGTCAGCGAACTGTCCCAGTACGGGCTCCCCGGAATTTCCAAGCAATTTCAGGCTATCACTCGGAAGAATTCTTGAACACGCCTGCCCAGCGTGATCAGCCGTTCCAACACAATGATCAAGAGCAGCGGGATGGTCGAGAACCGAAATGAGTCAACGGTTCGGGGGCATTACAAATCCTGTGACGCATTGAGGGATCTAGCTGGGAACTGTTTGGACTGAGAAATGATTCGCAGGTGGTTTTGATTCGATTTTGTTAGAGTATTTGGAGTTTGGTGACGAGAAAAATGGCCATCGGGGCCAGGGCACGTGTGGGACCAGACATGTGAATGACCCGTGAGGCGAGCCATGGGCGTTAAGGGGGCAACATTCTGAATTGTACAGAGTATTCATCGCATCGAAATCCATAACGGGCAAGGATGTGCTCTTGAAGAGGATGTGTTTTTTGTTTGCTAATTTCGTGTCCAAGAGTACCAAGCCAAAACGTATGTCATTCTGTCTCACAACAACAAGCTCCTCAACCATTTGAACCTCTCGAGCAAGCAGGCTCAAGCTCGCAATAGCCTTCACCATCACTATCCATCCATCATGCTTCCGAAGCGAGACATTCGGCTTCAACGATCTGGCGGCGGCGGTGTCGGCCTGGGGGGCTGGACGCGACGGGTTCTTCGGCATCCGAGGCGATGAGACCATCTAGACCCGTCATGGCCGGCTGTGTGAGCGCAACATGCAGTGCCGCAGGTTGCGACCGTGCGGCGGCGGCCGCCGGCTGAGGAGAAGGCTGATGTGGGTTGTAAACCGGCGCGGGCGAGGCGGGCGCCGGCGCCGGCGGATGGTAGACGGGCGCGTGATAAACAGGAGCTACGTGGAGGGGGGGCGAGCCGCCGCCTCCGCCGCATGGGTTGGTGGTCACCAGGGGCATGGTGATGGGGCTCGCAATGTTGATGGCCGGGCCGGCGCCTTGCATCTGCGGGGGTGGTGCGCCTGGGGATGCGTGCGGTGGGTGCTGAGGGACACCGGAGTGGGTCCCTCCGTGAACGGCATTCTTTTGGGGAATGTCTTCCTCCTTGGGACCGGTAGAGCCCAGGGGGGGGTGGCTGGACTTCTTGGACGCCTCGGAAAGGGTGCCGAGGGCGACAAGGAGGAGGAACGGGCGGAGGACGATCATGATGCTGATGATTCGGAGGGGTTTAGAGCTGAGTGACAAGAAAGAACTACCGGGACACGACAGAAAACGGACGGAGCATGTGTTGGATTGTCTTTTTTATACTTGGATTGTGCTGCAGGCCTAGCAAGTGGACAAGGAAAGCCATTGTTTAAAGTCAGGATGAGCCCAAGGTCTATTACCGTCAAGCCAGACGTCCAGTTGCGCCCCGGCAAGATTATTGTCCTCGTGCAGTAGGCCTCGACTGTCTGAGGGGTTCATCAAAAACCGAGGAGTATTGTAGGAGACGTGGGAGGTCGACAAATGATGAGGCTGGGAGGCTTAAGGGGGCTTGTCGGGTAAAGGATGTTGTTAACGGCTACCTGTCTTGCATCGTCAAGTGTCCTCCTGGCTGCTTCTACCGTTTTTTAGGCCTTGTTGGTGAAGTTTAAGGTACGCCGAGGCCACAGGAGCGCAGGCCTTGGAGACTTTGGCACGGCTGCTCGTAACAATGGTGAGGTTTTTCTTTTTCTGTCTGCGTCTCGGTAGGGTGCAAGTTATGTTTGGTGAAACGCTATCTTGAGAAATTGCAAGCGTAATCTGTGAAAGATGTGTTGATGAATATTCATTTATTATAGGAATGGCAATTCATGAGCTTGACCCTGCAGTCATCAGGTCTAGTCGGGATTGAAAAAAAAAAACTTACGACCCTTCAAACAATAAGCAGAAGCTATTGATTACTGCAAGAAGCATCTTAATGTTCCTCTCAGTAAAACATCCCCGAGGCCATCACCATCCATGAACAAGTTCACCAGCCATCCTCTGCCACAAGTCTGTCCAACCAGCCACAAGCACTGACAACGTTCGTTAGTCATCGACAGGCGGGCGGTCCGATGGTCGGGGTGAAACCCCAAAGTACGTACCGGTTCCTCCAACTAAAACTCCGCCTCGGATGGACTGCATGCGTCACTGGGCAGAACAGAGTGGAAAGGGAAAAAAAAAAAAAACTGGCGGTGACTCCAGGAAGCACGGTCCACCACAGAAAAAAAGTCCAGGGGCCCTGTGCCTGTGGCTCGCCGGGAATCAGGACACTGGTGCAAGACGATTGGCTCCTTCTCGCAGAATGGCGTCAAGCAAGGCGACGCGTGGGGTTTGGCGGGGCCCTGGAGGGGGGCATACAGACCCTTGTCACCCAGTCCTAGCGCCTGCAAATGGCAAATGCCAATGGCAATGGCCCCGGCTGGCCGTCGGAGCAGAGCGAAGCACGCAGAGAACCAGCACGCGCAGCCGGCAAGCCCAGACAATGCAGAGTGCAGAGACACGGAGGGGCAACAGGAAGCAGAATTGAGGCAAAGAGGCAAGAGGGCGGAGAAAAAAAAACCACAGTAGCTGAGCTGAGGCACATGTAGGAAGACTGCTGGCCTCCACCTACCCTCGTAGTACATGTACCTACTGGACCTACCTACATGTAGGTATCCTTCCTCATAGTCGTACCTACCTGCGCCTCTGTTCAATCACCGATCCCCAGATTTCCCTTTCCCTGTTGTGACTCAACTTTGGAAATCCCCTCGACCATAAAAGCACAAACCGACGGCCCAATCCCCCCTCCCGTTCCATCATTCCTGACTTCAATTCTACCCATCACCGTCACCTATCGAGACTCGACACCACCTACCTGCCACAGTCACGCCCCCTCCCACCCTACACAAACCGCAGCCATGTGCCCTACGCCCGACACGCCGGCCGTCAATGGCCACACCAACGGCACCAACGGCACCTCCAACGGTGCCAGTGGCAAGACTGGAGGTTCGTCATTTTCCGAGCTCTCTCGCGCATCACGGACTTGTCTTGCTGACCTCCACTGCCAGACCATCCCGGTTACACCGGTGTCCAGGTAGGCGCAACCCTCCGACCTGCGCTCGTGGCTTGCTTCAATGCCCTCGTGACCCCCCCGCGACGCTCGCAACAGCTGCTAATCCGCACAAGACCCGCACCCAGAAGGACAGCCCTTACAAGCCAGTCGGCGACTTCCTGAGCAATGTCTCAAGATTCAAGATCAGTATGTTGTCTCAAGGCCAACCCCAGCCTCGACCCTGGTAGCGCCCATGTCTGACTTTCCTCCCACAGTCGAGTCCACTCTCCGTGAGGGCGAGCAGTTCGCCAACGCCTTCTTCGACACCGAGACTAAGATCAAGATTGCCAAGGCTCTCGATGACTTCGGCGTCGACTATATCGAACTGACGAGCCCTGCCGCTTCGTGAGTTCCTTTATTTTCATAGACATAAGACCAGTGGAGGTTGGCTGGCTAACATGCTGGAAAACAGCGAACAATCCCGTAGGGATTGCGAGGCTATCTGCAAGCTCGGCCTCAAGGCCAAGATCCTGACTCACGTGCGCTGCCACATGGATGACGCCCGCCTGGCCGTCGAGACTGGTGTCGACGGTGTCGACGTCGTCATCGGCACTTCCTCCTACCTGCGCGAGCACTCCCACGGCAAGGACATGACCTACATCATCAACGTACGTCATCCCGTAGCCCTGTGTCCATAACCCGAGCTAACCAGCTGCAGACTGCCGTTGAGGTCATTCAGTTCGTCAAGTCGAAGGGTCTCGAGATTCGTTTCTCTAGTGAGGATTCGTTTCGCAGTGACCTTGTCGACCTCCTCTCCGTCTACAGCGCCGTAGACAAGGTCGGTGTGCACCGTGTTGGTATCGCCGACACCGTTGGATGCGCCAGCCCGCGCCAGGTTTACGATCTCGTCAGGACCCTGAGGTGAGTCACGCCACCCGGTTGCCCTGAAGCGCGGCTTGTTTGCTGACAATCGTTCTACAGAGGTGTCGTCAGCTGCGACATTGAGACGCATTTGTACGTAATTGTTCCAGACCCATTTAAAGAGGCATCTGGGAGCACGAAACTAACACACGATAGCCACAACGACACCGGTTGCGCCATTGCGAACGCCTACTGCGCCCTCGAGGCCGGCGCCACGCACAGTGAGTCCTTCAGTCTTCTGAACTAGCCGAACCTGATCTCTAACTCCTACTTAGTCGATACCTCCGTCATCGGTATCGGTGAGCGCAACGGCATCACCCCTCTAGGTGGCCTCATGGCAAGGATGATCGTCGCCGACCACGAGTACGTCACCAGCAAGTACAAGCTGCACAAGCTCAAGGCCCTGGAGGACCTTGTTGCCGAGAGCGTCGAGATCAACATCCCCTTCAACAACTACATCACCGGCTTCTGCGCCTTCACCCACAAGGCTGGCATCCACGCCAAGGCTATCCTCAACAACCCCTCCACCTATGGTAAGCTCTAATAAAAAGAATACCAAATTCACGGTGCGATCTTTTCTGACCTTATCCCAGAAATCATCAACCCCGCCGATTTCGGCATGAGCCGCTACGTCCACTTCGCCTCTAGGCTCACCGGCTGGAACGCCATCAAGAGCCGTGTCGAGCAGCTCGGCCTCACCATGACCGACGCCCAGGTCAAGGTTGTCACTCAGAAGATCAAGGCGCTGGCTGATGTGCGTCCCATTGCTGTCGACGACGCTGACTCGATCATCCGAACCTTCCACCTCAACCTGACGACGGACGCCGAGAAGCCCCTGCTCCCCAACATGACCGAGGAGGAACGCATCAAGTTTGAGCAGGCGGAGAAGGAGCTCGCTGCCCTGCCCGAGAAGAGGGCGCTTGACGAGTCGGCTGCTGCCGAGGCCGACGTGGCCGCCAAGAAGGTCAAGGTGTAAGCCGTGGCCTGTGTCTAACTACATGGAAGTAGCATGAGGCCGAGAGCATGGCATTTCTTTTTCAGCTTTGATTATACCATATGTGGGGCGTTTTGGACAACAAAATTGCGATTTGGCTTCCTGAGGACTGGGAGCATTCAATTTAGTATCATGTCTTGAAATTGATCATGGATTTCTCACGATGACTGTACATGCAAAAACCGGTGTGAACCCGGAAGATCGCTAATGAATGTCTTTTCATGTATAATTGCACACTGACTTTCAGAGAGCAAATTTGAGAGACTGGGTGATCGACGGCGAGCTCGAGGGGTTTGGCGGGTCCAGCCAGGTGTGATAAGATAAGCCTGGCCAGGGAAAAAAAGTCCCAACATGCATTTTCCGCCGCTCGCTGGCTGACCGTCTCTCGAACCAGCGACAGCATCCCAGCGCAAACCTCTCCAGACGCCCGACTTGCGAATTCTTCGTCATGATAAGATCCTAGACAGACCATATTTTCCTAATTACCATCCCGAGAACGACACCCTCAAGCCATCACCCGCCGCATCGTGACCACTGGCGCCAATCTCTACGAAACTCGCCCCCGCCTCCGACAAGCCAGCACCAAAACCAAAAGCAGAAGCGCAAGAAGATGGACGCCCACGCCCTCCTCACATCCCAGGGCTGGCGCGGCGCAGGCCACTCCCTCCACGCGACCTCGGACGCGATCGGCCTCTCGAAGCCCCTCCTCCTCAACCGCCGCGACGGCAACAAGGGCATCGGGCAGAAGGCCCACTACACGAGCGACCAGTGGTGGATGAACGCCTTTGACGAGCAGCTGCAGGGGCTCAGCACGACGACGGGCAAGGACGGCAAGCTGGGCGTCGTGCAGGCTGTGCAGAACGGCGGGCGCATCGGCGGCGTCGAGAAGGGGGCCGGCGGGCGGTGGAAGCTCGGGGGCTGTTTCGTCAAGGGTGGGTTCCTCGAGGGGACGATTGCGCTGATTGAGAGGGAGAAAAAGCAAGACGGTGAGGACGATGAGGAAGAGGTGACGACGACGAGTGAGGATAGCGCGACGGGCACGTCGACGCCGGTCGGCGGTGGCGAGGCCAAGGAGAGCAAGGCGCAGAGAAAGGCGAGGCGGGCGACGAGGAGGGCGGAGAGGGAGGCGAAGAGGCAGAGGAAGGAGGCCAGGAGGGTGCTGAAGGCTTCCAAGACGTCGTCGAAGAGCTCCTCGAAGAGGGCGTCTTCTGACGATGACTCGGACAAGTCGAAACAAGACGAGACGAAAGAGGAGCGGCGCGCGAGGAGAGAGGCGAAGAGGATACGACGGGCGGCGTGAGAGGCCCGCAAAACGGGCTGAAAGAGAGCTGCTTACAGTGAGATATTGTGATTCATAGAGCGTGCATGATACCCAGGCTTGTCGCAAACTCGACCAAGCTGTTGAGGCACTGCAGGCGCTGGAAAGGGCCCAAAACCCGGGCACCCAATGGGGGTTTAGGGTTCAGAGCCGCTGCGCCAGGGCAAGATCATCAATGAAGGGGGCCCATAGCGACTGTTGTCTTTCCATAGATGGGGTGTGACCAGTACTGGCTGCGCAGATTCGCAAGCACTAGGGCACGTCGCGGCGGTAGTTTGCAAGCGTTTTGTTAAAAATAAAAATAGAAGACTCGTACGAATTACTCAGGCCGAGGAATACTGACTGTCCCGAAAACAATGTGAGCCGATAGCAGATATTTGATTCCGTTTTGAGCCCGCAACAACTTGACCCTGTACTCCAACATCCATCGATAAGATTGGAACTATGACAAGACTGTTTCCGTATTCTAGGTCTCTTTTGGTGCCTTGCCCGGCTTGTTCGATAGCAGCCACGGTCGCCGGTCCCAAAAGTCATCCTTAATGATATCTAGATGCTCGATCACAATCCGTGCTTTGTTCCGCCGCTTCTTATCCTTCTCTGTCTGGGACTTGGTCATGGAGACCGGCTCTGCAATGGCGTCTGCATCTGCCTGGACATTGTGAGTTCCCGGCTCGACCAGTTCATACTAGTATGCTAATTAGCAAGACAATTTTAATATGAGAGGTAGAGGGAACTAACGTCTCGGAACACGACACTGCCCTTCTTGTACATCTCAGACTCATTATTGTAGTTGATATGGAAACGGGAGAACAGTATCTCGTTCTTGTCACCCGATACTGTGCCAGCTAGAAGCTCTTCTGCTGCGCGGTTGTCCATACCTCCAAGCTGGATCAGGGCCCAGAAGGTTGTGTTGTATAAGTTGTTGATATGACCTGCTCCTTGTCAGCGTGCTCGCCTGGGAGGCTCCAGAAGCTTCTCCTCACAGTCCACTTGTCGCCAGCTCATGTAGTCTCTCAGGTTCTGTACGCTAGGGTAGCAGACGGCCCGCCCGTCGAAGCTGGGTAGAGGCAAGGTCAACGGCGCATCTGGGAAATACGTGGACCAGGAGTGTATATAGTGTGCTGTGAAAGTCGAGACGATCGTTGTGACGAGCTTGCTGGCACGTCTTTCAAACAGCGTACAGGACTTGTGGAAGACGAAGCTGTACTCGTCACTGATGCCGTAGGCGATGGTGATGTCTGGTAAATCGGTCATGACAGCCCTGGCGGCTGCGTTCATAAGATCAAGGGCGCGTTTGTCGTTCGGCTTCTCAAAAGCATACTTGGCGCAGAGCCTGTCAACGTGTGAGTGCGGCATCCCGGAAGCATCGGACGGTGCCATTCTGACTTCGTAAAACCTCTCCCATCTATCCTAACAACAACCCATGTATTTTGGAGTAGGGTGTCTGGCTGCTCAAAAGCCTTTACATATTCGAACCTAAACCAGTCAGACAACATCCTTTACGCAACAACAGTGAGTCTTACTTAGAGTTCGCCATGGTGCTGCCGATGACCAGAGCTATGCCTGATGTCTGACTCAAATTGAGAATGCGATTGTGTAAGTCAGTGCCGAATAGGCCCTGGGCAATGCGAAAGGAAGGTGAGTGAGGGATGGTGGGGGAGGGGTCGCTGCAGTGGGGCTACGAGCTTGTATCACCTGAGGTCGCGCATCCGCCTTGCAGGGTCGCGTCCGTAGTAGGCAACCCATCTCCAATTGAACACACTCTACCAACCGGCATTTCCACCCGAACATCGGCTGGCAGCAACCCTCCCTGCTCGACAAAGGACGAACCATTCCGAATCGACATCGACCATACCAGAGACTGTCATATTGGGGCCTCAATCCCTGGCAAAACATGCGCCCCTCGACACCATGAACTTGCTTCTAGCCGACCCCGAGGAGGCGGTCGAGTACATTGAGCAAATCACAAACACAAACACTATCCGCTCTGGCCACGCGACATGCCTGCGCTTCAACAGGACGGGCGACTTCCTCGCCTCCGGTCGCGTCGACGGCACCCTGGTTGTCTGGGATATTGAGACTATGGGCGTTGCAAGGAAGATGCGCGGCCACAACAGGAGCATCACGTCGTTGAGTTGGTCGGGATGCGGCCGCTATCTGCTATCTGCGTGCCAGGGCTGGAAAGTCATTCTTTGGGACCTGCAAGACGGGACAAAGTATCGCGAGGTGCGCTTCAGAGCGCCGGCGTACATTGCCGAGCTGCACCCACACAGCCAGTGAGTGACGTTGGCGTTGTTGCAGTCTCTGTAAGCGGTCGTTGACTTTCTCTCATAGCAATCTTTTTGTCGCGTCGCTCTTCGAAGCCCAACCCATGCTTGTCGACGTTACCGAGCCCGTCGAAGTCAAACATGCCCTGACCTCTATACCGAAGCGATCAAGTGGAGACGGTGACGATGCGCTGGCAGAGAAGCATGCTAAGGAGGACGCGAAGCAGACGACGACCGTGACCATCTTCACAGCATCGGGTGACCACATCATCGCGGGCACCAACAAGGGCTGGATTAACATCATCGACGTTAAGAGTCGGTCCGTCATACACTCGGGAAAGCAGTGCAACGGCGTTATCACGACGTTACGCCTGACTAGATCGGGGCGAGACCTTTTGGTCAACTCTCAAGACCGAAAGGTGCGAACGTTCTATGTACCCGACCTCACCGCTAAAGACCTCGACGTCGATACCCTCTACCTGATTAAGGAGCACGAGTTCGAGGACCAAGTCAACAGATTGTCGTGGAATCACGTCACATTTACGGCGACAGGGGAATATGTGGCGGCGTCCACCTACAACAATCACGAAATCTACGTGTGGGAGCGTCGGACAGGAAGTCTGACGAGAATATTGGATGGCCCGAAGGAGGAACAGGGTGTCATAGAATGGCACCCGCAACGTCACTTCCTGGCAACCTGCGGCCTCGAGACGGGCAGGATATATGTCTGGTCCATCGTACCCGAGCAAAAATGGGCTCGACTGGCACCCGATTTTGCACAGGTGGAGGAGAACCAAGAATACGTCGAGCGTGAGGACGAGTTCGACATATACGGACAGGAGGAGCTAACAAAGCGACGGCTGGATGCTGAGGATGAGGACGTCGACGTCGTGACCCCTTATGAGAGCGGGGCTCTGGAGCAGCAAAACGCAGGCGAAGGAGGGCGCCAAGGTAAATTTCGGATGCCCATCCTGTTTGACCTTGCCGATAGCGACAGCGAGGAGGAGTTCGTGGCCGTTTCGACCGGCACTATGCGTAGGAGAAGCCCCGGTGCGGATGGCGAGATACTCGATGACATGTCGGCGGACAAGAAAGCGCCGGCAAAACGGCGGGGTGCCAAGGGGCGGAAGAAATAGGCAGTCGACGGAGACGTAGAACTGACCACCTTGGAAATGAATAATAGGAGGTCTTTATCCGACGCATGATGCGGGGCTATCTGATGCAGTATCAAAATAGGAGTGTCCCGGGCCGATCCATTGGTGCAGATGGGTGCTTGGTCTTTGATCGAGTTGTTCCGTTCGGCGATCCCGCCGAGGCTGATAGGCACTCAAAGCACTGACTGGGGTAAATGACTTTGGACGTCGCGTGCTTGTCTTGATCGGACATGGACGCACAGGAGACGGAGAAAGAAAGAATGACAGCCAGTGAATGTTGATTACAGGAACCGTTTCGCGGCTGACAAAGGGAGTTGCTCCCCAGTCATGACTTGAATTGATGTCGGTACCTCAGGCAACACGAGCCAGACCCACCACCACACGCCTAACGGCCAAAACTGGATTAGCGCCATCTCCGTGGTGCGCAGCCGCCTGGGAGGCAAGATTTCTCTCCGGTCCGCTGGCTCTTGCCCGTCGCCTCACCCTGCCTTCATCATCAACCACCTCGCCATCAACGTCGCGGCGCCATCACAACGCGCGTCCCAAATAGTGTTTCGAGACTGCCGCCGACATCTCGACACGCCCAACGAATTTTAGCAACGCGATTTTCGACGTCTCGACCAGTCCGCAGCGGTGGCGGCCATTGGGGTGACGAGTAGGAACGGCTACTCCTGGGCCGCTGGCCAGAGGGATCGGATTTGATTTTTCTTCACGAGGCGCATCCCCATCAATCCAAACGGCTTGCGCAGACTCTCTTTCCATCATTGAACAGATTTCCGCGGGGGAAGGAACGGGTTTTCTTGCGACTCTTGCGACTTTGTCCGACTTTTCTTCACCTTCGCTTCACGACGTGTTGATTACGATCGCGACCGACGGGTTCGCCTCCATCGATTGCCACGGGCGCGAATCCTTCGTTTCGACGCGCTTTCCATCACCGACGGCCACCGTCCACTTAATAATCATCGACTTGCGCGCTTCCCGATACTCTGTCGATAGCCGCTTCGGCAAAAAACACCACACAACATGGCGAACCTCTACTTCACGCACTCAAGTGCGCCCGTCAAGACGATTGAGGAGATTCAGTTTGGTCTCATGTCGCCCGAACAGATCAAGACAATGAGTGTCTGTCACGTCATCTACCCCGAGACGATGGACGAGACGCGTACCAAGCCACGCGACAGCGGTCTCAACGACCCTCTTCTCGGTTCCATCGATCGTCAGTTCAAGTGCAAGACGTGCACGCAAGCCATGGGCGAATGCCCTGGTCATTTTGGTCACATTGAGCTCGCCAAGGGCGTCTACCACCCGGGTTTCATCAAGAAGGTCAAGAAGATTCTCGAAATCGTCTGCCTTGAGTGTTACAAGGTCTTGGGTGATAGAGTCAGTCTTTTCGACGCGAAGCGACTGCCTTGATTCTTGTCTTGCTAACTTGCCTGCTCAGAATGATCCTGAATTCGAACAAGCTGTGAACACGAGAGACCCCAAGCAGCGCTTTCATCGTGTCTGGCTTCATTGCAAGAAGAAGAAGCGGTGCGAGAACGAGCTCAAAGAGGAGAAGGATGGCCCCGATTCTTTCCCCGAGCTGAGGAGGCAGAACCAGGTCCCCCATGATGGTTGTGGCAACGTCAAGCACGACATCCGCGCCAAAGCCCTTCAGCTCATCGAGAAGGTCACGTCAACGACTGAAGACGGCGTCAAGGATGTCAAGGAGGTCCCCATCACGGCTGATCGCGCCCACGGCATTCTGCGTCGCATCTCCGACGATGACCTGAGGGATATGGGTCTTAACCTCGACTACGCTCGCCCTGAGTGGATGATCATCACTGTTCTCCCGGTTCCCCCTCCTCCTGTACGTCCCAGTATTTCTATGGACGGTACAGGTCAGGGTATGAGGAACGAGGATGATTTGACCTACAAGCTTGGTGATATCATTCGTGCCAACGGCAATGTTCGACAGGCCATCAGAGAGGCTTCGCCCGCTCATATTGCCAGAGACTTCGAGCAGCTCCTCCAATACCACGTCGCCACATACATGGACAATGACATTGCTGGCCAACCACGCGCTCTTCAGAAGAGCGGACGTCCTGTCAAAGCCATCCGAGCTCGTCTCAAGGGCAAGGAAGGTCGTCTACGAGGAAACTTGATGGGTAAACGTGTCGACTTCTCAGCTCGTACCGTCATCACTGGTGACGCCAACCTGTCCCTGGATGAGGTCGGTGTTCCCAGGAGTATTGCCAGGACGTTGACATACCCGGAGACCGTTACCCCTTACAATATTGGCAAGCTGCACGAGCTGGTACAAAATGGACCAAACGAGCACCCCGGCGCAAAGTATGTCATTCGCACAGACGGCACAAGAATTGACTTGCGGCATCACCGACGTGCCGGGCAGATCTCGCTCGAGTACGGCTGGAAGGTGGAGCGGCATCTCATGACTGGTGATTATATCATCTTCAACCGTCAGCCGTCACTTCACAAGGAGTCCATGATGGGTCACAGGGTTCGTGTCATGCCCTACTCGACCTTCAGACTGAACCTGTCAGTCACATCGCCTTATAACGCTGATTTCGATGGTGACGAGATGAACCTTCACGTCCCGCAAAGCGAAGAAACTCGCGCCGAAATCAAAGAGCTTTGCATGGTCCCCATCAACATTGTCTCTCCGCAGCGGAACGGTCCCCTCATGGGTATTGTCCAGGACACGCTGGCTGGTGCCTACAAACTTTGCCGCCGTGACGTCTTCCTCACCAAGGAGGAGGTCATGAACATCATGCTGTGGGTTCCCAACTGGGATGGTATCATACCCGTTCCAGCCATCCTCAGGCCTAGCCCTCGATGGACAGGAAAGCAGATCATGAGCATGGCCATTCCTGAGATTGTCAGTCTCAACAGCTTACCCGACACAAAGGAGGACAACTCTGTCAAGGACGAGGGTCTGCTGATTCAGTCCGGTCAGCTCATGTATGGTCTCCTCACAAAGAAGGTCATTGGCGCTGCCAGTGGTGGTATCGTCCATATTGTCTACAACGAGCACGGCCCAGAAGCTGCGATGAAGTTCCTTAACGGCGTTCAACAGACTGTCAACTACTGGCTGCTCCACAACGGTTTCAGTATCGGTATCGGTGATACTATTCCCGATACCCTTACTATTGAGAAGGTCCAGGGCCACATCGATGAACAAAAGGACGAAGTCGCCCGCCTCACCAAGCAGGCCACAAACAACGAGCTCGAGCCCTCTCCCGGTATGAACATTCGAGAGACCTTTGAGAGCAAGGTCTCGCGAGCTCTCAACACAGCCCGTGACAAGGCAGGTACCACAACACAGAAGAGTCTGAAGGATCTCAACAACGCCGTCACTATGGCTCTGTCTGGCTCCAAGGGTTCGTCCATCAACATCTCGCAGATGACTGCGTTGGTCGGTCAGCAAATCGT